CAGCGCTGCCGGCGCCGCCGACATCCCGGCCGGGGTTGCCCTCTCGGTCCGGCGGCGCCCGCAGGCGGAGTCCCGCGCCGCTCTTGGGCTTTTTTCCCCCAGCGTGCTCTCCGTCCTTCTTGCCGCCCCCCGCCCCCGCCGCGCGGGGGAGGCGACCCTTGGGCCTCTCCGGTCCGTGAGAGGTGGCTCCTTCCCTCCGTCCCGCACCCCGCAGGGGAGCGCGGATCCCCTCCCCGCCAGGCTCCCGCGGACGCAGCGACCTCCCGGGCCCTTCTCCCTGCCGCTCCCCATCCCTCCCCGCAGCAGCTGCTGCAGTGGGGCACTCGGCCTGCCTGCTGCTTCTGTGCTGAATAACTTAAATCCAGGGTGAGGTTACCTTGAATCACCTGGCAATGAGATACGGCTCTAGAAGACAATTCATGTGTTTCAAGCAAGTTCTGACAAAGAGATTTGCACCACTCTTACGATGACTGCAAAAATCAAACAGTGATCGGTACAATGCCTGAAAACAAACATTACTGGATTTGTCTGAACAAGATACGCCAACATTGTTTGTGCACAGCTCTTATGTGCCCTTTCAGGGTATAGAAACACATAGAAATGCATGTCTCTTACATCAGCTGCTTCCTTCAGAGATGCAACTGTTTAATGACAGGTGGGATGTGCCCAGGGGAGGAGCTGGGGTAGAGCATGGCACAGTACTCCACGGTGATGTGGATGACTAAGGTGTAGGCCACTGCCCCCTCCATCAAACTAAGATTTTCCCAGCTGGGCAGTTGCTGTTTCTCTTCTCAGAGACAGCGCTGGGAAGCGAGGAGTGCTGGGCAAGAGACACTGCAGAGCTCCCTGGCACAAAACTCGGTTCCCCCTGGTCCAGCTCTGGTGTCTGGGGCTCCGCTCTCCCTGGCTGTTGGGCTGAACCTGCGTGGGAGTGGGGCTACGGAGAAACGGCTGGAGGCTGGCTTCAAGCCCAGGGGCCTGCATTTGTAAGATGAATACATCTTTAAGAACACTGCATGGAAGAACTCTTCTTAAAACCCCTTTGTATGTGTTTCTTTAGTTTCTAGATAACTAGGAAATGGCCTGTATGCTTTGATTTGGGATCTTAACCTTCTTTTTTCAGCCCCCAGCTGGGCAAGTAACAGCTGCAGTGATGGCTGCCATTCATGCTGGGCACTGCCACTTTGACTGTGCCTACGTGTACCGGAATGAGAGTGAAGTTGGGGAACAGATCCAGCAGAAAATCAAGGAAGGTGTTGTGAAATGAGAGGACCTTTCATCGTCAGTAAGGTGAGGATCTGATGACCTAGGATCCCGGGGAAGGCCTGCTTTGTGTAGAACATGTTCAGAGGAGGAAATTCAGAGCAGTGGGGAAAGGCTGTGTGCAATAATAGCATGGAGTCATTCAGGACATAGTTCAGGTCCATACTGATGGAAGCTTCTTTTTGTCACCTTATCTTGTAGAGAGTTATCTAAGATATGCTCCACATCCTCCATTTTCATGGGACTGTTCAAAATATGTATTAAGCTCAAATGGTCCCAGAAGGTGTACTGTTTTTTTCCCCTGCTTACGCAGGAAATTCTGTATTTGGCTCACCACTGAAAATTACTAACTTAAAAAGAGCTCTTTAACCCATATCTGCCTGTAATAAGTGGCTTTTACATGTCTTGACTAATGGAACAGGATCAGTTTTTCAGTTTGCAACCCTGTTAGATCACATATGCCACCTCTGCACATGCTGCCCTCGGTATCACAGGCCAGTCCTGCTCACAGAGCAAGCCCCCTCTGAAGAGCACTAGGATGGCCTCATTCCACATCGCCTTCCAAAGGAGACAGGTAGCCTCCTCTCAGGAACAGGACAGAAGGATTACAAGAGCTTTAACACAGGAGGTCATGGTGTGCCTTGGCTTTTTGTCTCTAGCTACAGTACACATTTTATGAAAAACCTCTGGTGAAGGGAGCGTGCCAGAACACTCTTGCCAACCTGAAACTGCATTGCCTGGATCTCTACCTCATGCACTGGCCTCTTGGGTTCAAGGTACAGTAACAGCAATGCCCTTGGCTTTCCCTCCTGGAGAGCTCCTCAAAACCGCCAGTGATGCTTGCAGCACTACCGCTGCTCCAGTCCAGAACGGCCATGTGTCTGTTGTGCGTACCAGCACTGCTCCGGTGCTGCTCATTCAGCTTTAGTCTGGCCACGTGAGCCGGGCTCTTGATCTCTGCCCCCGAGAGTGCTGCTTGCACAGCGTCCTCTGCCCTTTTGATACTGGAGATGTAGACCTAGCATTAAGACCAGACCTCCCAGCTGCAAGCGTGAGTTGTGCTGCTTTACTTTTGGCTGTACCTTGTCTTCTACAAATCCCAAGTATACTCATCTTGCCAATGACTTAGCCTCCTACTTTGTGGGAAGGAAGGCTGTACTTTGCTGCCCGACAGAAATTCTTTCCTCTGCATGTTACAGAATCACAGAGCAAAGGAAAATGCTTCTATTTTCCATTTCTGTCTTTAATCACTGAGTCCTTAATACAGTACAGATTGAGCTGACCTTTGCTGTAGGAGCCTTAGTGTTGTTCCACAGACCTTGGATTTCAAAAGATGAGACTTTCTGACATCCAAGTTTCATACTTCATGTACTTCAAAGGAGCTGATGTCTCAGTCTATTTCTAGTCTTAGCTTTTCCTTTCTGCTATAAACAGGTTAAGACCTTCATCCTATCTGTTGCTTTTGAGCTTATCAACTGTTTATCATACTTTCAAAGCTGTCATGGTTAGTTTTATGTGAACAAAGCCCTTGAGTATTATGTCATGGCATAATACTCTGACATCTGCACAACACACTAGGTGTAGAGCAATATGGAGATGTGGGGATCTAGCCCTCTTCTGATATGTCTGAGATGTTCTGATTTTCCTAGTGCCACCAACTTAAACTGAGGCTTCCCTCACAGGAGACCTGTTGTGTACATAATACATTGTTCAGCAGATGTGGCTCACCCTAGACCTAACTTAAATGTCCTTTGGACCTAAACAGGTCCTTATACTCTTCAGAAAACAAATCTTCAAAAAAACAGTTCTTGGTCTCCCTTAATAGGCATGATAGAGGAGTACAGCAAGCTTGTTTGTTCCGCTTTGTTCCACAAGTGGTGTGACTTCTTTACCTGCATGTGTTTTGGTGAGTCACCACTCTGCTGGGTCCAGGAGATACACCTGTCCCTCCTACTAGGAATGGTTGCTGGCAAAATGCCATAAACCTGCATGAACAACGTAGACAAGTATTAATATTTTCTGTACGAGGAGTTAAAGCCATCACGGTTCTCAGTTGTCTCGGTATTAATTTCCCACCAAAGAGTGTTTCAAACATTTTCTTTGTCACTGACAGGCAGGGGAGGAGCTGTTTCCCACAGATGACAAAGGCATGTCAATACCCAGCAACACAGATATTCTACATACATGGGAGGTAAGTTCAGCCACAGCGGGAGAACCATGTTTTCTGTCTTTGGCAGACTTTTCCATGCTTTCATTACCTTCAGCAGCCACAAAGTTCTTATGTATTTATCTTACGGTATACAATGTAGCTTTTCAAAACATACATGCTTAGTCAAGCTGATAATCTTCAGTGGAGCTGCAGACCAGATTGCTTGACCGTAATAACCACAGAACTGTCTTCACCACAGTTCTTAAACTGTTCAAATACACTTTGCAGGAATAAAGATATTTTAGGTTGTGATCTTGCCTACAGCCTGGGGTAAAGCGCTCCAGCACTGGCTCAATAGCATGTTACTATATTTTCCACATGTAACTAACTTGGTGTTTCTACCATCTCAAGAAATGAGCCTTTGGGCTTGGGTGAGATGGAAGACATGGCACAAATACACCAGTGCGCACTTTTTCTCCCCAAGAGACAAACTTTGCAAGTCCAAACAGTTGTCTTTCCCTTCCCATGAACGGAAACAAGCCATACCGGGAAGAATATATTCAGGCCCTGTCTTGTGTACTGGATGCTGACTTTGCTCCCCTTTGTGTTAGGCCATGGAAGAGCTGGTGGATGCTGGTGGATACCAAAAGCCATTGGTATCTCCAACTTTAACCATGAGTAGATGTGGGAATGGGAGTCTCACTAACGGACATTCCTGAGTTTGATTTTAATGAGCAAACACTGCACCACCTGGCATAACAAGGCACTTAAGCAGAAAACAACGGAGAAAGGAATGTGCAGCTGGAAGGAGAAAAACAAGATAAAGACCATGAAGGCATTTCGCATGATCAGAAAGAACGGGCCAATCTGCTAGAGCATAGATGCGCGTGAACACAAGGCTGTAACCTATCTGCAAGCTGCAGGTAGCGCGTGTCCATAGTAGTTAACTATATAAGCCCTGTTATAAGTGTAAATAAAGGAGAATGACCATACTCATATTGAGATCTGTCATTACTCCGGAATCGCAACTCCCGCTCCGTCGTCGACACTGAACAAAGGGAAACTCCGACATCTGGTAGCAGAGGATGGTTCGGCGCGCCTCTTCGAGACTGCGGTAAGAGCAGCGAGAGAAGGGGAGCGGGAG